GATGAGAAGAAATCCAGAGGTGACAAGATGATGTTTCTCTGGCTTTGGGGTGGAGATGACTGGGGTCATTGTTGCTGTCCAAAGTGGAAGCCATCAGAGGTGTCCTGTTTATCTGTGTGACTGGGCCCTTTTTGGGTCACAAAGGCCAGATGATACAGCAGCTACCTGAAGGGTGGTTTATGACTGCAGCCTGGTCCTAGTCCCCTTCTGCCACCAGCAAGCTAGGTCAGCTTGGGCAGGTGACTTAATTTCTCTGAAGTTCAGTGTCCTTGTCTAGAAAACTGGCATGGTGATGCCTGTGCTGCGTCCCATGAGACGGATTGGGGCACAGGACGAGCAACGGTTCCGGTGTCTAAAGAGGAGGCACTGTGTTTGGCTCTCTGCACTGATTCCAGGTGACAGCTCTTCCACCACGAATGACTCCACCGCTGTGGGCAGTTTATAATTGCCTAAATGTCGACTTCCAAATAATTCTAGGTTTCTGAAATGCCAAGCAGGTAGGACACTTAGGAGAATGAGTTAATGAAACGGAGTCCATTTCCAGGCAACAGGAAGTTTGTAAGCACCTACCTCACCCTAAGCACTGAGCTGGATGCTGGGGAAATGCAGAGATGCAAGACACATCTTTTGCCCTCGGGCTAGTGGATGGAGAATTGGGACCCCTGTGACAGGTTCTGAGAAGGAGCACCAGTGCTAAGGAAGCATGGGTAGGGGTTCTAGCCCAGCCTAAGGGTTGGGGCCACACGCCAAGGAAGGTGAATTCAGAGTGGGACCTGAAGAATGAACGGGAGTAGCTTAGGCCTGAGATGGAGGGAAGGGTGTTTGAAGCACAGGAAACAGTGCATGCAAAGGCTGGAAGGCACAAAGGCCTTTCGAGGAGAGCAGCAATTATTCTAGTTAGGATGGGGGAATGACCAGGGATGAGGCCAGTACGGAGGGCTCTGTCTGCCAAGATGACGATATTGCTATGTTCTCTAGACACCAGGGTGCCATCAAAAGGCTTAGCATGGCAAGGCACCAACCCTGTGTTTAATTTTTTATTTTTTTATTTTTATTTATGTTGATAGAGTCTTACTCTGTTGCCCAGGCTGGAGTGCAGTGGTGTGATCTCGGCTCACTGCAGCCTCTGCCTCCCGGGTTCAAGCAATTCTCCTGACTCAGCATCCTGAGTAGCTGGGATTATAAACATGTGCCACCACCACTGGCTAATTTTTGTATTTTTAGTAGTGATGGGGTTTCACCATGTTGGCCAGACTGGTCTTGAACTCCTGACTTCAGGTGATCCGCCCACCTTGGCCTCCCAAAGTGCTGGGATTACAGGTGTGAGTCACCATGCCCAGCCTACTCTGTGTTTTAGAAAGATCTTTTGGGGAACTTTGAAGAGGATGATCGAAAGTGGAGGGGTTGGTTGAGGAATGATGAGGGCATTTCATAGTTTAGTAGGGGAAGTGGGGCATATGCACAGCTGGCACCAACTGTGCAAGGTGACATGTGAGCATTGGCACAGGTGGGACACACAATAGCGGGAAAGGGGGCCCAGGAGGAAAAAGTATTGGAAGGTGCACTGAGAAGGAGAGTGACCAGGCCAGGGGAGTAGAGGACCCACTAATAGTTTAAGAGAAGGGATAATAGAATTATTCTATTACAGCCGGGTGTGGTGGCTTATGCCTGTAATCCCAGCACTTTGGGAGGCTGAGGTGAGTGGATCACCTGAGGTCAGGAGGTTGAGACCAGCTTGGCCAACATGCTGAAACCCCATCTCTACTAAAAATACAAAAATTAGTGGACATGATGGCTCATGTCTGTAATCCCAGCTACTTGTGAGGCTGAGGCAGGAAAATCACTTGAACCAGGGAGGTGGAGGTTACAGTGAACCGAGGTCATACCATTGCACTACAGCCTGGGCAAGAAGAGCAAAACTCTGTCTCAAAAGAAAAAGAAAGAAAAAAATAATTATTCTGTTTTATCTTGTTGAGATGGCCAGAGAGACACAACAGATTAATACAGTTCCAGAGATAAGAATTAAGCTTCATCAAGTTAGACCACAAGTCCCCTTCAGACACACGTGTTTCAAGTCTGTCTCACCACAAAGGAAACAAACACTAACTATGACTTGGTTTGCTAAATTCTGGAAATCTGGAACTGTGGGGCACTTCCTGAAGTTCGGGTAAAGGCTCAATACCTGTCATCACATTGATTTTCCTTAAAGACTTCATCCCATTACCTGAGGCCAAAAGCCTGTCAGACATTTATCCATGGTCACAGGGCGGAGGCAAAGTATTTTTCCTGCCCACAGCATGACTGACTCACCATTCTAACTCAGTCTTCCTCTACTGCAGAAACTCTCTGTCCTGGCCAGGTATGGTGGCTCACACCTGTAATCCCAGCACTTTGGGAGGCCAAGGCGGGCAGATCATTTGAGGTCAGGAGCTCAAGACCAGCCTGACAACATGGTAAAACCCCATCTCTACTAAAAATACAAAAAAAAAAAAAAAAAAAAAAAAATCAGCCAGGTATGGTGGTACATACATGTAGTCCCAGTCACTAGGGAGGCTGAGGCAGGAGAATCTCTTGAACCTGGGAGGCGGAGGTTGCAGTGAGCTGAGATCGTGCCACTGCACTCCAGCCTGGTGACACAGCATGACTCCATCACAAAAAAAGAAAAAAGAAAAGAAAAAGGAAAGCAGTAAGATGGAGAGTGGAGTTTTCTTCTATTTAGAGGAAGACCTAAATGTGTGTAAAGAATTAAGATACTGAGAGGCAGAAGGGAGATCTTCTGGACTTAATTTCCTTATCTGCCTTATCCACTTCCCAGGGATGCCATAAGACCCAAAGGAAAAGAAGACATAGACATAAAAATTATTAGAGAAATTTTTAATATTTCTATCCTCTGACAGATTTTTCTAATAGCTTCCAACTACTTACAAAATAAAAATCTATAAATAAAAACGCAATTGCTGACATTTAAGATTTCCTGGCTGGGCACAGTGGCTCACGCCTGTAATCCCAGCACTTTGGGAGGTTGAGGTGGGTGGATCATCTGAGGTCAGGAGTTTGAGACCAGCCTGACCAACATGGTGAAACCCTGTCTCTACTAAAAATACAAAAATTAGCCGGGTGTAGTGGTGGTCACCTGTAATCCCAGCTCCTCAAGAGGCTGAGGCAGGAGAATCACTTGAGCCCAGGAGGCGGAGATTGTAGTGAACCAAGATTGCGCCATTGCACTCCAGCCTGCGCAGCTGAGAGAGACTCCATCTCAAAACAAAAAAAGATATTTCCTATGATCTGGCTCTAACCTTTCTTCAAATACTGTTATTGCCCAAGCACCCTGAATCCAGCCAGAGGAGATTCATGTTCTTTCCTTCTGTTTGCCTTTGCTCAAGCTAGTCCCTCAGCCTCAAATGCCCTCCTGATCTCTGCATACAAAAAATATTTTCAGAGTGGTTAGTATATGCAAGACACTGTTAAGATTCTGCTGATTTTTGAAGGTCCTATTAGTATGCTGTTTTGTCCATGATCCCTTCTTGCTCCTCCCCAGGGAAATGGTACTTTGTATCAATTGTAGCATGTATTCTACTTAATAATGTAGCTTGAAGTTATGATTAGTCCTCCTAACAGACCATGAGAGACATCGGAGATTTGAGGGCTATGTCTTGCTTTTGTTCTTATCACCCGTATCTGTGCATGGTACATAGTAGATGCACAATGACAGAAAAAGTGAAAACATGATTTTAGGAAAAGAATGTACATGGGCGGACAGTCTCTTGGGACACAAAACTGGGTGGGATTCAGGATCCAGGAAAACAGAAGTATCAACTTGTTGAAGAAAAGAACGTCTCCTCCCTTGGGAGGAATAGCAGATAAACTTGGGAGGATGGAAATGGGATAGCCCATGTGGAGACGCAGAAGTGTCCAAATCCCAGTCCCGGCTCAAATGCCACATCTTCATTAAGTCTTTCCTAAATCTCCTCCTAGAGACGACCCCCAGCTCAGCTCAATCTCTTTGGAATGTTTGGAATCTCTTGTAGAATGTTTGTCTTGATACATAAAATTTATAGAAAGCCTTTGGTTTGGAATCAGCTCCTGCACCAGGCCCAATAGACCAAACCAAAATAGAGTCACTCGTGCTGAAGTTCCAAGCCACAAAGCCGAAATTAAGCTGTTCATCTGACCTTCGGAGAAATCAGAGGAGAGGGAAAATAGCCATATCCCCATGATAAAGGAAGTCCCTTCTGCTTTAACCAATACAAGTAAATTAACTTTGAAACTTGTTCTTTGTTTCTGCTTTTTTTTTTTCAGCCCTTTTCTGTCTATAAAAACAATCTTCTCTAGTCCGCTCGTCAGAATACTCATTCTATTTTACAGAATAAGGTGTTGCCCGGTGCTAGGATCGCAAATAGCTAGTTAAGATGTATAACTACATTTCTTGTAATTTTGTCTTTTGATAGTACAGTATATATATCTTATTTCCTTTTCCAGACCAGAACCTCTTTGAGGGCAGGAGGAAACCGGTTTTCCCCACTTTACACATGACACATAATAATCACTCATTCAATGTGGATTTATTGGATGGATAAATAGGAATGAGGGGTAGAGAGGCGGGAGAGTGACTGGACAAATGCGAGACAGGAAAAGCATGCGCCAAGGAATCCAATGGAGAGCGAAATCTCCAGACCCCCGATTAAATGGTTTAAAGCGAAGCCAAGCAACAACTCCCCGTCCCTCTGCGGCAGAGAAGGGCAGGTATCCCTGCTCGCCTGCAACTTTGCTCTGAGGACGTCTCGTCAGTATCCCGCGACTGTCCTTCCCAATGCCTGACCGAATACTGAGGCTAGCCGTCTGCGAACGCCTACACCTCCTTGGTCTTCACGTGAAACCGAGCCTGTGACTACACTTATCCTTCCATCGCCGGCCTCATTTCTCTTTTCCCTTCTCCGATCTCGCAACCACTGCTAGTAAGGCGCGCGTGCGGGCAGCCCTGGCCTGCAGGGGAGGGAGGGTCCTGAGACCGGAAGCCGGAAGCCGGAAGTGGGGCTGTGAGGACGTGTTCGAAGAAGCCAGAGCCGCATCAGTGGCCTGCGGGGCCGGCGACATGGACCCCCTGTACCAGCAAACGCACAAGTGAGGGCTGCGTCGGGGAGCGGGCGGGGGCTAGGCGAGGCTAGGCCAGGTGAGGCCTGCTTCTGGAGCTGGGGCCTCGGACGTCCGCTGGGGCAGAAGAGGCCGAGTTTTTCTGCCGGGGCACTGCTGGAGATGCCTCCGAAGTACTTAATCCCTGGCGGGACGCCCAGATCAGCCGGTCCAGCCTGGGGCTTGGGGACATGGGGTAGATGGCCCCTGGGGTCTGCAAGCCCGTGACTACCTACTGGGTAAACTGGGTGAGGGGAAAGTGGCACCTGGAGGTTCTAAAACTTTATCCGGCACCTACTCGGTGCCCCGGGTTGGTAGAGCTCGAGAGGAAACGTGGAGTAGGAGACACGGCCCCTGCCCGCAGGAGTGTACTGCTTAATTGGAGAGTCAAGGCACGTACGGGAAAATATTTGTATTTTTACTTGATTTATACTAAAGACCACATTTTTATGGTACAAAGAAGTTGCTGTCCACGTGGCATTCACTATTAGTACTTGTTAATCGTATCTCGTTACAGGTTATCACTAAGAAAATCGAATTTTAGTTTAGCTTTTCGCAACTTAAATTCCTTGGTAGTGTCCTTTATTCGCGTCGTCCTGCACTTTTGGAACTCGCTGAGATTCGTAGTTGAGTATGGTAATGCGGCCATACTTACTCTATTTTATGGCTACAGAATTTTATGATTTTTTTTATTGTAAAATATACACAACATAAGATTTACTATTTTAACAATTTTTAAGTGTACAATTCAGTGACATTAAATACATTCACAACTTATATCACTACGATCCATTTCCAGAACTTTTGCATCATCCCAAACAGTGCCCATTAATCAGGCACTTCATTTCTTCCTTCCAGAGCACCTAGTAACCTCTGTTCTACTTCTGTCTACGAATTTACCTATTCTAGATACTTTATGTAAGTGGAGTCGTACAGAATTTCTCCTTTTGTATCTAGCTTATTTCACTTAATGTTTTCTGAGTTCATCTATATTGTAGCCTGTTATCAGAATTTCATTCCGTTTTATGACTGAATAATTGTTGTATGTATCTACCACATTTTATTATCCATTCATCTGTTGATGGGCACTTGGGTTATTTCCACCTTTGGGCTATTGAGAATAATAACTGCTGTGAACTCTCATGTACAAGTTTTAGTTCCTCTTCTCAATTTTTTAGGGAAAAAAACCTATCCTGTTAAGAATCCTATTAAGAACTTTCAAACTTACGCTGTAGTTTTGTTGATTAAAACACCTAAAATGACACTCCCAAGGCCTGGAAATGAAAGGCCCTGACCATTAGGAATAAGAGGATGATGATCTTCTTACGCTTTCATTTTCTAAGCTTATGGGTTTCTTTTATTTTGGCGATGAAGGGTTTCATTTGGGTGGGCGAAAATACAGAACCTACTTTGTAATGACAGAACTTTCTTTTACACTGGGGAGCCCTAGTCTCACATAAACATAGGAAGGGACTTAAACTAGCCTCTGAGTCATTTAGAAAAAGAATGAAGCGAAACTATGTTCATGTTACTGAGAAAGGGCAGGTCTTTTACAGTAGCAGGGCACAATGGGAATAGTAGTGCCTTGAAGTTAATCTGTTATGTATGGTCTTATGTAGTTAATTTAGTTAAAAGATGTTGCCAAGAAGGCCATGACCCATTTTATAGTCAAGAATAATTTTGTGTAGAGAGTCTTAGACTGTACCTGTTTTCAGTGCAGCTAATCACAGAGAAATCTGCATAGCTTAGAAGAGGAATACTAAATGGTGCCCCAAACAAGGTGTGTGGAGTGTAGATAAACTCTGTAGGCCTCCAGCTCCAGCAACACACCCTTGGACTCTAGCAGTTTGCCAGTTTTTTCTGTTAAGGATCAGTTTTAAAATAGTAAACATTTTAGGCTCTGTGGGCTGTACAGTCTCTGTAGTGACTGCTCTGCTGTTATATGGGGAAAACAGCCATAGACAGTATGTAAACTAATTGAGTACCTGTGTTCCAGTACAGTTTGTCAAAACAAGCAGTGGTATAGCTTTGCCTCATAATTATTAGGCTCTCTATTACCCTGACACTCATTCATTCAATGAATATTTATTGAGCACCTACTATGTACTGTGTACCATTCTCAGTGCTGGCAGCTTTCTTTCATGCTGCAGTATCTTCTTTTTTCTGAAGTGCTGCACTAGGAGCGGGAGTTCTGGTTCTAGACCTCCTTACTTTGTTTTTCCTCATCCGTAGAATGCTATTATAGTGTGGGCTGGTTAAACTGTAAGGCTCCTTTCAGTTCCATGATACAGAACTGGTGACTGAATTACTTTCACAGGAAACACGTGGAGTGTGGAGAGCACCAGCAATGAATTTTCCCAACTGCGGAAATTAACGATTGTAGCTGAGTTGACACAACAGTAGCTGAGCATACTAATTTTACTGGAACTTTGAACCCAGTTTGTGATTATCTCTTGCCATGGCCCTGAATACATTGAGTACATTGGAATTAGATTGACATTTTAAAGTTACTTGAAAACTCCTGAACTTACCTGAACAATGAATGAATGAAAATAAAAGGTGAAAAACAGAATAAATATTTTACACTTAAATATTTCATTTATATGAACTTTATAGAGGAGCTAATAGCCAAGCTTCAATTTTTGAGATCCCAGTGGTTGTAAAGGTGCCCACATTTGTCCCCTGCATAGTCCAAGATTAGTCCCTTGTCGTAGACCTTATTGCTAGGGATTGTGACTCAGTATGTCCAGGGCACAAGAAGCACTACATTTAACAGGCCCCCCAGGTGATTTTGATAAGCAGTTGGGCTTAAGAACTATTACCTTAAGACCATTTTTTTCTTTATAGATTTTGCCCTTTAATGAGCTAAATGTAAAGGCAAAGTGAGTGAAATGAAAATGACCAGATTGTTGCCACTACTTTAAAGTAACAACAAACACGTGATACTGTATAGGTTACACAGCATTTTCATGCTCACAGTGGTCAGAGGCAGCCTGGATGCTTAGTGGGTGTGTATTACAGGGTTGTGGGGGGGGGGCTGGGGGGGTGGTATGGTGAGTAGTTTCATGAACATTTAAAAAGCACTTCCATTCAAAAATTCTTCCTAGATCTTTTGTAAACCCTTTTTAGAGACAGCTGCAGTGACCTTGGCTTATTTGCTACTATTTCTCTGCTCTATTATATTATCACCCAAGCCCACCCCATGGGCTTCATTTTCCTCATGTCCATGCTCCCAAGTCATGCTTGTGTATCACCTGTTTCTAATTGACTTGCAGCCGCCATGTTGTGTTGTCAGAATTGCCAGTTCAGTTTGAAACATTTTCCACTTTAGTAGTTCCCACCTCACCATTGGTACTTGCTTTGTTGTTTCACATTTATCTTTTCTTAGCATGAAATGTAGCGACTGGAATTGTATCATTGGCTACATCTTCTCTAATTGGTTCAAAGCAAATAGAGATTGGATGGGAAAAGTCAATGGGTTATGGGCCTGTACAAAAGTGCTTTGATGAACATCCCTGCCTTGCATATCTCCTCAGTGTATGCCAGGACCTCTCTAGGAGGTATTCATCAAAGTGCTGGGCCATAGGATGGATACATGCTTTATTCTACTAGTTATTGTTAGCATTTTAAGCATTTTACTAATTTATAATCCAGCTGGGTAATGAGAGCTTTGGTTTCCCTATATCCTTATTAATGCGTAAGTCTTCAACCTTTAAAATATTTGTCAGTTTGATGGGCTAAAGAAATGTGACCTCATTGCTTTTCATTTGTGTTTTCCTAGTTGATTGTCATTTTGTATGTCGATTGACCATTTGGGTTGTCCTTTGTGTCATTTGCCCTTTCTTCATTAAGAAAAAAAAATGCGTTGTTTGACTTTTCCTGTTGATTTGTAACAGTTCTCTGTATATTTTCTGCACATCAATCCTTTGTGAATCTGCTGCAGATATCTCCAGTCTGTGCCATTCATTTATTTATTTGTTTTGTGGCTTTGGTGTACAGGTGTTTTTTGTTTCAATGTTGTCAGTTGTATCCGTTTTTTCCTTTGTGGTCTGTGGGTTTTGTTGGAGTGGGTAGTTTTGGGATTTTTGTCTTGCATAGGAAGTCCTCCTGTAACCTAGGTCATTTATGCACGTCTATATTTTCTTCAGAAAGTTTGAAAGCTCTGCTTTTCCCATTTAGGTTTTAAGCGAGCTTGAGTTTATTTTTATGTGTTGTCTGAGGTGTCCTTTTTCTGTATGGATAACAAATCAGAGCTGTTGGCATTGATTGTAGTCCCTTCTTTCAAAAGCTCCCCAATACATGGGGCTGCGTCTGTCTCTCTCTTGCGTCTTGGGTCAGGTGTCGGGTTTGCCTTTCCTTGTCCGTCTGTACCTGCACTGCCACCATATTGTTTCCGTTGTTGCTGCTTTATAAGTCATAATGATGGGTGGGACAAGTCATTTCTCCTCCTCCTCCTCCTCCTTCAGAGTGGTCTTGGCTGTTCTTTGCCTCCCCCACCTTTTTATTATGTCACTGTTTCTGTTGGTAACTTTCAGATTTTTCTGTTAAGTCACCATTGAAAATTTACCTCACAGCCTATATCAGGACTTCATTAGAGTCCTAATTCTCTTTTCCATTCCTGTTACCATCCAGTCCCCTATACCTGTTCCCATGGTTGCCCTGATTGAGATGTCAGCTACCTCAGGCGGCATTCTTCCATCAGCCCCCTTAGCTCCACACCCCTGCATCATCCCAGAATATCCCGCACTTACTTTCCAGAAGCAATGGTCTGGTCTCAGACTCTACTAGTGATTTCTAGTTGCTTCTCAGGGCTACAGGCCTAGGAGCACTTTGGGGAGCCATTTGACAGCTCGCCCAGCTTCTTCTGGTGCCCAAGGGCATGTCTGGAGGCCACAAGGAAGCCCTGGAAAAGACTGGGCACAAGCTTAAGCCAAAGTTGGGTGCCTGGCTGGCACTGGTAAATTTGGAGTTATGGTTTGCAGTATTCACGGTGAAGAATGGTTGCTGACCATCCAGGGTTGGGGATGATGTGAGAGCCCAGCAGGCCCCCTTCATGTGGGCTCTAACTTGGGTAAGCACCAGGAAGTGGATGGTGTGCCCAGCATAAGCAGTATCCCAAGGTCTGATCATGGAGGACCACTAGGAAGGGTCTTGAGGAGGCTTGGGAATCCTCCAGAGTGTGTGACCCAGATCCAGGGTATAGTGTTGCATTTCCAAATGAGGTGGCTTTCATTCATACTGTCAGGGAAGAATGTTTACCAAACAGGCGGTCCCTGTCTTTTAGGACCTTCCTCTGAATGGTTTCCTACAGTGAGTTACTTCATCTTCCTCTCCCTCGACCTGATTCTCTTTCAAGCAGCCCACCCTGCTTTTAATCCACGTGACATGTCTTGTATGAATTTTTACATATCATTTTCTTCTATCTTCCTTCACCAAATGATGCCTCCTTTCTTCAAAAGTGATGCTCAGAATTCTCCGTCCACAAAACTGAACCTGGTTTCTCTTTCTCAGTCCCCCCTCCCCTCCGTCTGTTTGCATGTGACACCACTGTGCAGAGCAACCCCCTTTCTGTTTGTTTACACTTATGTGTATTGCTTTTCTTGTAAATCTTCCCAGGGCTTGTTCGTGTCCACCCAGCCTGTCATTCCTAATTATGTTGTTTCTGAAGGACAAGGATTATGTCTCCCTCGCCCTTTGACTCTTCCTAGTACAGGCCAGTGCTTAGCACATTGGGTCATAGAACAGAGAGTAGGATTGGCGGGGTCCAATTAGAGGTTTATCACTTGCTGTGTGACCTTGAATGAGTTACATAACCTTTCCAGACTTAACAGTTTTATTTATAAAATGAGGATGATAGTGGTACTTGCCTCATAGGGTTATTGACTTGGCGAAGTATCTTGGATTTGGTAAACGCCCACAATCTGCCTATCAGTGTTATTATTAGTAGTTAAGATATTAGAAACCATGCCAAAACATGGAGCCTAAAGTGCCACATACAAATTTTACAGTTCGGTGATGCTGTCAATTTAAATCAGTTACATGTTGGCATCCGAAAAATTGTCTTTCCTGACTGAAGCGATGTTGATTACTCCCATCTCACTCATTTCCTCCCTCTTCCTTTGATAGGCAGGTCCATGAGATCCAGTCTCGCATGGGACGCCTGGAGACGGCAGACAAGCAGTCTGTGCACTGTGAGTAATTAACTGTGGAGGCCAGAGTCCTTTCTCTGATGACAGGGTGCTAATGGGCTGGGTTTCCTGACTGCACTCTGCCTCTGGGGCTTAATGATTCAGCATGGAATGAGTTTTGTTGTTAGGGTGGACAGAAAAACCCTATGGCAAAGTCACTGATTTCCCTGAGTGTGCCCTTTGGAATCCCACAAGTCTTATCCCCCATTACCCCTCCACTCAACCTGACATGGCCCTATGGGAATGGAAGCGCTTGCCTCCATCTGTCTTAATCTAATTACCTAGTCCTTAGAGGAATGTACTGCATAAAAATTCAGAGATGTTTAACTGGAATTGGCCATTTCTTCAGAGCTGAGAACTCTGGCTTTTTAGGAGGATTATTTAGAAACGAACAGCAATATTAATTAGTTTAGTTCCCACAGCATGGTTTCTTTTGAGAAGCATGCTGATTTTTTGTTTTTTTTTCTGCGGGGCGGTGGAGGGGGTGGTTTCTATTCTAAGGAAAGGTCCTTTTTGTGAGTTGGTCATATGGACACCACCTGCGGGGGCTGCCTTCCCACCTCACTGCTGGGCTCCCGCCGGGCCCATTCCTCCTGTTCTCTCACGTCTCCTTTCACAGCTTCAAAAGCTGCTCTGCTCTTGGTTCTGTGCCCCACCTTGCTCTAATCTCTACTCTCTTTGTTCACTGTGGGCGCAAAGGCCTAGGAAGGAGCAGTGTCACCGCTGTCACTTCTTTATGGGGCAAGAAGCAGTCTGGATGCTTTCTTTTGTGTACATTTTCACTTCTTTGTTCATCGGACTTTGTTTGCCTTCTCAACAATCTCATTGTTACATGATTAGAAATGGAAAGAGGTCATTTTGCCAGTCTTACCAAAAGGGATAAGGAAAATGACCGTATTTATCATATCTCTTTACCTCTGTGGACTCTTTCCTGGGCCTTTCCTATTGATATTTGGTCTATTTTGGGAACGTCAGCATTGCTCAGCCCACCCATTCTTACAGAAAGCTTTAAGGGAACTGTTCTCTGCATGTTTCACATACTAATCTTCCCCTTCCTTTTTTTTTTAAAAATTTAAAAAAAAAAAGCCTTATTACTATTCAATTGGCAGTCTTTTTACTAGTTATTTATAATCCATGTCTGAGAATCCCAAAGGAAAAGAGACCTATAACAGAAAGCTTAGCTTAAAGTATTTATTTGGACAACCTTTACATGTTTATTTTCTAAAAGTAGGACATTTATTTCTACAGATTTACCTTCAGCCTTTTTTTTNTTTTTAAATGGCATTGTATGTCATTAACAGCTATATACATGTACTTTTTTCAAAACAACATTTACAGCATAACTTGAATTTTTTTCTGTTATTCATTAGTGTATACATGTTTCTCCTTTTGAAATATGTGTTTCTGGTTTATTGGATATTGAAAAAACGTGTTATTTATCATTCTAATTTAAATTCACTGTCTTTTTTCCAGCAATTATTCTTTTTTCTCTTTTGTGCAGTAGTAGAAAACGAAATCCAAGCAAGCATAGACCAGATATTCAGCTGTCTAGAACGCCTGGAGATTTTGTCCAGCAAGGAGCCCCCTAACAAAAGGCAGAATGCCAAACTGTAAGTGCTGACCTCTGACATGGCTCTCATACTCCAGGCCTGGCAAGACAGGCTTTTCTTGAGGCGGGGAGGCGATAGAATATTCTGAAAACCCACGTACATGTTGAAAAGATAAGACTAAGCAAATAAAAAGCGCCCCCAAAGGCCACAATTCTATTCGAGTGATACCCCCTCAAAATAAATAGCCTATAAGGTTTGTGACTCAGAGGCCTTGTGACCCCTTACCTCTTTGGTGTCATTTTGAAATTTTGCCTCCAGTTCTGTTTTTCTGAGTAGACCCATGGCCACCTGAAGCCTAATGTTGCCATGGAGTTTTGTTCTGCTCTTTGGTTCCTGCTGGGTTTTTCTTGGGTTGAAATGAAAAATCACTTCAATCAGTCCACCTATAATGAAATACTGATCTAATGTTTGATAGTCCACCATGAAATTAAAATGAAACCACTCTCTCCACCTCCACCCCCAGCGCTTGTTTCCAAAAGTTTTATGAAACTGTGGATGCTTTGCCTCAAAGATGCCCTTGGGCTTCTTCCACGAGAGCGATATAATCCATAGAAGGTCAGGAAGAGGTCAGTGAGCCTGCTTCCTGTCCCCTGTTCCCTGTCATGCATCCAGAATCAGAGAGCAGCAGATACTGAAGTCAAGCTCCCGGAATCTTGCATGCTACCATCTCACTTTAACCACGAATTACTTCTTTACTTTCAACATCATTGATCAAAATCAGATCTTGCAGGGGCGGGGAGCGGGGGGAGTATATCGTGGGATGGTGTAGGGAGAAGGAAACGCCGTCTTTTCCTCAGTACAAAGCCTGGCCCCCTCAGACTCTGCTGACCTGAGTTCCTGGAATTTAATCTCTCTCTCCATCAATTCCAGTCGGGTTGACCAGTTAAAGTATGATGTCCAGCACCTGCAGACTGCTCTCAGAAACTTCCAGCATCGGCGCCATGCAAGGGAACAGCAAGAGAGGCAGCGAGAAGAGCTTCTGTCTCGAACCTTCACCACTAACGTAAGCCAGGCATGCGGTGAGGGTCGGCCTGCACTTGACAGAGTTCAGATCTCTGAGCGTCATCTGTTTTAGAGGGTGTCTGAAGAAGACTGATGAGGAGGAAACCAACTGGAAATGACAGGAACTTTGTGCATTGCCATAGAGACTAGCCCTAGACAGAGGAATCTCTTTTTCTAAGACAAAAACCTGAAGAGGAAGCAGTTAAATTGAAGGGGAATAGGCAGAGGTGAAAATTACCTGGTTGGACTGGTCTGAGACAGAAAGATGGAAGTTCACATGGTGGAAACGTTTTTCTGATCAGATAGAGATAGATGAGTAGAACTTAGGCCATTTGTAGAGAAGGCAGCATTTCAAAGCTGCCGGTGGGCAGTTGCCGTTGTACTGAGTATGTGTGTGGTTCCAGTGTCAGGTGCATTAAAATGTTTCTGCCTCTAGTCTGAGCAGCAGTTTGGAGGAATTTGTTAACAGATGTTTAGGGTTAGATGGACTGCTTGCGAGAGTCTGCCTGAAAGTGTTGGTTTGCACGTTTGATTTCTCAGAACCCATTATCCCTAACCAGATCATTTCCTGCGCATGGCTGTGGAACATACTGGCCTTTTCTGTGTCCTATGTAATATATTCCACTAGGTGAAGTGTGCTTTGGCTTTCTGTATTTTGTTTTTTACAGAGATTTATTTTCTAAACAGATGTTAGCTTTCTAAGCCTGTCCTTAAAATTCACATCATTTCCTGCTTTGTATGTTTAACCCTCAATGCTGTATCCTTGCTTTGCAACAAATTGCCCCAGGTGTTTCAGAATATGCCTACATAGTGTTGGCTTCTCCAGAGTAAGCAGTCAAGTCACAGTGTTTAACAATTCAAAAATTATAATGAACCATAAGACACACTAAAAGATGCTGCCTGGATTTTACATTGTTATAATGTAGCATTCAGGCCTTTTTTAGGTCAAGGATAATGGCTCAGGATGATTCTGCTTTTTTGCCAGCCTGGCGTGATGCTGTGCGTACAGTCAGTTCCTAACAAACATTGACTTGCCAGATGAAACTTCTTCCTGGTCATTCTACCATCTGGAGCTATAATACATTTTTTCTGAGAGATAATGGCCCATCAGCCATACCGTTTTAGATAGGAGGGTAAGAAGATTTGTATATAAGCCACATTCCATAAGTGCTTGTCAGATTACTGAAGGGAAGTCTCTAAGTGATCCTTTGAAACACTAGTGTCTTTTGACGGACTGAGCATCAGCTGCATGTGGAACACTAGTGAATTCAGGCACTAGGAGTAAAACGCATGAGGAAATTTAAAAACCTGACTCCTGCCTGTGAGGAGCTCCCCTGTTAGCAGGGGCAGTTGAAAATGCACATGTGCAAAATGATTCCGAATCTGAGCAGCAAAGAAACGGTGGCATAACTTTTTTTTTTTTTTTTTGACAATTGAAACTGGGGTTTAGGGGTAAAAACAGCACTAGTAGGGCCCGGCGCAATGGCACGCGCCTGTGATCCCAGCACTTTGGGAGACTAAGGCAGCAAATTGTTCTGGAGTTCACCATCCTGGGTGACATGGTGAGACCTCATCTCTACAAAAAAAGTATAAAAATTAGCCGGGCATGGTGGTGTGCGCCTATAGTCCCAGCTACTCCAGAGGCTGAGTTAGAGGATCACTTAAGCCTGGGAGATCAAGGCTGCACTCGAACCTGGGTGACAGAATGAGACCCTGTCTAAAAACAAAAAACAAAAAACAAAAAAAACCCAAAACAAACCCCAGCAGTACATGGCAGGAGAGTTTGTGATTGGCAGAAAAGAGACAGGACACTCACAGCTGGTGAGGACCTGGCCCCTGTCTATAGTCCACTTTCAGTGCACAGGTAGAGCCACCAGGATGGCCCTTGGTGTTTCTCTCTACAGTATGGGTAACAGGGCAGGCCCTGCGCTCAGTACCCAGACTCCCACGTCCACGGGACTTCTTACCAGCTCTGTGATCTTGGACAAGTCATTTTACCTCTCTGGGCATTTTTTCATCTGTAAAATGGGGAGGCCTACGGACAGAATGCTTGAGCACAGGAGTTCAAGACCAGCCCGAGCAACATGGTGAAGCCCTGTCTCTACCAAAAATACTAAAAAAAAAAAAAAAAAACTGGACATGGTAGCATGCACCTGTGGTCCCAGCTACTCAGAAAGCTGAGGTGGGAGAATTGTTTGAGTCCAGGAAGCTGAGGTTGCGGTGAACTGAGATCGCACTACTGCAGTCCACCCTGGGTGACAGAGGGAGACCCTTTCTCAAAAAAAAAGAAAATGCAGAAGCACAGCCTCCTTTATCCTTAGTCAACCCTTAGTCTACTTGGAGAGCTAAATTGTAGATAAAATAGCTAAAGGACAAAAACAAACATTTAACACTACATTAAGGGGAAGCCATGGAAAGGAAGATTTGGAACAAGCTATGTTAGCGAGTAGTCAGAGAAAGCCTTTACGAGACACCCAGTGAGATCTTGAAGGAATAGCTCTTCCTAAGTGGAGATAATGATACAGAGGCAAGAATGAACGCTACTTGTGGAGTGGAACTCATTTGGAGAGTGACAGATCTAAGGAAATTCCTCTTCCGTGTGGACAGAGGCCACCCCGGGCCTTTGCATGGCGTTTTTATCCATTAGATCCGCTGATTCTTGCACCATCCTCTCTGGCTGTTCTGGCTTGGCCTCGGCCAGCAGAGCAGTCAGACCCCAGGAGCTGACTGACTGACAAGCAAAGTTAATCTAAGTGCCTATGTTTCTTTCCCAGGACTCTGACACCACCATACCAATGGACGAATCACTGCAGTTTAACTCCTCCCTCCAGAAAATTCACCACGGCGTGGATGACCTCATTTTAGATGGGCACAATATTTTAGATGGACTGAGGAACCAGAGACTGACCTTGAAGGTGGGGTCCCTGCTGGGGGACAGGGAGAAGGCCTGTTGTTATAGCCTCATCCAACAGTTCGGTACCTATGTTTATGTTTTGATTATGTGTCCTCAAATTGTGATATTTTGAGGACACGACAGAGTCCTTGAGTTTGGGATCCTTTCTGTTGGAGTTGAGTTACTGTGAGACTGAACATACCCAGTTCCTTTGCCAGTGCTTGAAAGAAACCATAAAGTGGCCTCTCTCAGTATCCAAGTCTTTTCCCATTTACTGAACTTACCATGAAAGTGACTGCTACTACGAGGGGTCCAATCACAGGCTGAGAAATTGTGTTACAGAATCTACTCTTGGAAGAATGAAGACGTGGCTGTCCTTTGGTACCTCACTCTAAGGTGGCTTTCCCTTAGGACCCCTACTGAGGACTGGCTTATAACTGCAACCTTTTGTATTTCAGTAACTGAATCCCCACTGTGCGGTGTTAGGGCCACCTGGTTGTTTGTAGTAGATTAGAGCTTCTAAAGCCTGTGCTGGTGATCCCAGCGACTCTTCACTCTCTAGCCTCGGGTATTCCTAGAAGCCCTGACCAGTTGGCACTGCTGAGACTCAGCCCCTGGGAGTGGTTTACAGAAACATTACACAGACTCTGATGTCAGTCATGATGTTTCAGCCTCTGCCCTTTTCCTGTATCAGCCCTAATGGATAATAGGGTGTGGGCTGTGTCTGTTATCAGGGTGTGGTCCCCTGTGAATGAAGCACTCCCAGCCACTGAGCTGTGAGAAACAGTCATTCGGAAGTGTGAGCTTTATCTTGGTTTTTGTTGGACCACATTGAGCCTCTCAGCTCCACAGGACTTCAGTACATTTCTGAACAGACCCTGCCATCTCTACGGGGGAGAGGGTCAGGCAAGCTGCAAGTGACACTCGCCTCCTGCTGACAGTTGCAGTGTCTCAGATGGCCTGGAAGGGTGGTCTCCAGCAGCCTGCTAGGCTCTCCCCTTTCATGAGAGCCACCTGTGGTGATCTGAACTGATACGTGTTGATTAGTCTGCCCTTTCTTTAGAAAACTGCTACTCTCCTTTTTATATCTCAGAAAAACACTAGAGGCCTTTTAGGACCAAACTCTGCGTCATACTGATGAAGAGCCAGTGGGGGTTAGAGTGTCCTGTTAAGGCACATACTAGCTTCCCACTGAAGTCTGGCCGCACTGGGGCATCTGCACACCTCTTGACATTCACACTGATACCAGAAGGGAAGGCTGGGAGGTGGCTGGAGGTTGAGACAAGGTTTTTATTCGCTTTCCTCTGCACACCTGTGGCTACTTGGTGTTTGTCTCTTGATTCCCTCCACCCGCCTCCCACCCTATCTCTGTTGGGATTTTTCACTTACGCCATTTGAAAGGAACATAGGAGCAGGCATGAAGGGGCTAGGCTGAAGCACTCTGGGTGGGGCCAATTTGTGGCTGAGAATGAATACATGTTTTGAAATTTATGGTCATTTTCAAGTGATTTAGAAGGTTGATACTTAGCTTCATACAGTGATGAAATAATCTGCATATTCAGAGCTAAGCAGGACTTTAGCAAGAGTCTGATTTGTATTATCACTATCTCAGAAAAAAACATTTCTCTGACCTCTAATGGCAATGCAGTTTGACTTGTAATTTCCCTAACTGAGGCTTGTTAATTGCTGTCTGGGCAGAAGGTAGAGTTTGGATTCCTGTCCTTGATGCCTTATGTTGATCTCACTTCCCTAGCTTCTCTCGGTTGCTCATTAATGTGTATTTATTTAAAAAAGAAAGAAAGAAAGAAAAAGGATATGAGGCATGAGGTTTGATGCTGTCCATACAAGTTGCAGTGGGTGATATGTGCTGAGTGACTCGGGGTCTGCCCGGCATTCACTGACACTTGTTACTTAATACATTGAACATGCTTTAAGCTGAAAGTCAGAAAGCAGTAGGGAAGGGCAGGTTGGATGGTTTGGGCTGCTGGTTTAGGAATACAATACCCTTTTGTTCTGGTGGTGGGTGATGCCGTTTATAGAAGGGGCTTTAGGGCCAGGCACTGTGGCTCATGCCGGTAATCCCAGCACTTTGGGAGGCCAAGGCAGGTGGATCACCTGAGGTCGGGAGTTCAAGACCAGCCTGACCAACATGGAGAAACCCCATCTCTACTAAAAATACAAAATTAGCCAGATGTGGTGGTGCATGTCTGTAATCCCAGATACTTGGGAGGCTGAGGCAGGAGAATCACTTGAGCCTCAGGAGGCTGAGCTTGCGGTGAGCCAAGGTTGCACCGTTGCACCCCAGCCTAGGCAACAAGAGCAAAACTCC